CAAAAGGCGGTCAGGATTTACATTCAGTGGGTGCTGATCATTGCACCCACTACTCTTTTGTGGCAACGGGTGTGAACTTAATATAAATATACATTCATAAAAAAATTCTCAACTACTTATATAATTCAAGCAAGACCAGAGGGAGCAGGCTCAGCTACTATCTTAGTTCTACATTGCCCGTGTCTGTGCAAATGGCACTTACTCTCGCCGGGACAAGACTACCCACGTGCATATCTCACACCTAAAATCTAAAGGAAAAATGACAAATAAATTTCTTTGCTTGCAGAAAAAGCTGGATTTTACGCTTAAAGTAATTGGTGGTGACATGACAGCAATTCCTGGCCTTTCTGATGCAATTGAGGTTTGGTCAAACTTTAACACTTAATCTGTTTCTCATGTTTCCATGGTAAACATTCTATTTTGTCATGCACTTGCCTAAATCTTCTGTATTTCGATATTGATAACGGTATTTACTTGAAATGGCAAACAGAAGTAGCTATAATACATTCACGAGAAGCAAAGAGTGTTGACTGTTGGGTGAAAACTTTCAAATAACAGTTCTTTTGTGTCTCGATGCATTCTATAAGACTACTAATTCGAGAAAAGAGAGGAACAACGGATTTGCTGCTTTGAGTTGTTTGCATGAACTTGAACTTTTTTATGCAATCAAAAAATGGAATGCTTAACAAATGTTAGTTATAATTTACTACACTAAGTGTACTAAGATGAACTTTTTTCTCCAGGGAACCATCCGGGACGCTATTGAAGACTCTATCACATGGCCGGTTCGAAAAGTTATTCCCATTTTACCTGGGGATTATAGGTATTGATATTAACAATGGATTCTTTGAACAATCTCAGTTTCACCACCTAATTTTGTCTTTGCGCTGCCTTCCCAATTTTTGGTCCAATCAAACACATTTAGCTTCTCATTGAACCTCAGAAGGACCTTTCCAAATATAAGATTTCCAAAGACAGAATTTTGGATTAAGTTTTGGAGAGTTGTTCCCTCGACTTGTTTCGGACTTCCATCCATTTTGCATTGAGCTAGAAAAGTCAAAACGTTATCTCATGCAATGTCGTAATTATCTCATGTTTTGATTGGAGCTGTAAAATCCTTATTGACATTCTATTTTCTCGTACCAGTGACCTTGAACTGAAGCCTACTGGAGTATTGGAGGTGAAACTTATTCAAGCAAAGGAGTTAACAAATAAAGACCTCATTGGAAAATCTGATCCTTTCGCTGTATTATACGTACGCCCTATACGAGATAGAATGAAGAAGAGCAAAATAATTGTAAGTTATTCATCCTTTTCCCTGGAAAAGTTTCTTTAATTTATTGATAAAAGTTAGGATTAAAGTAAATAATGTTCTTTTTCAGAACAACGATTTGAACCCAATCTGGAATGAGCATTTTGAGTTTGTAGTTGAAGATCCACTGACACAACACTTGGTGGTAAAAATCTACGACGATGAAGGTCTTCAGTCAGCTGAACTACTTGGATGTGCTCATATCCGTTTGAATGAGCTTGAGCCTGGTAAAGTAAAGGATATTTGGTTAAAGCTAGTGAAAGATTTGGAGATTCAGAGAGACCAGAAAAATAGGGGCCAGGTGACGACTGCAACTCCCTTTACTTTCCTTGGCCACGTTTCGATAGATTCTGCAGTAGCTGGAAATATACGTACATAGCACTCGGAAATCTGATGGAAATATATGTGCAAAAAATCCAAATACTGGAATAGTGATATTTTCAGCAACAACTAAATTAAACAGCATTTTACTGTTCAAAATGAGTGGCACCGATACTGCTGCTAATAATTGATATGGTCTCGATTGCCGTTCTTTAGTCCTATGTAGGAAAATTATGGGCAGTGATTTACTTTCCCTTATGGCGCCGGACCTCATCAAAACTCTATATATTCTCGATCGCCATTTCTTTAGTCCTATGTAGGAAAATATATTTCTCTTGATATTTTGAGCAGAACACCTACAATAGTCTGTGTGCTCTCCGTTTGAACTCTTCTCATTATCTTTGGTTAGGTGCACTTGGAGCTATTGTATTGCCCCATTGGCATGAAGAATGGGTTAACTAACCCTTTTTCTCAGACTGAGACAATGACTTCATTAGAGAGGGTTCTTAAAAGTGGGGTAGAAGGAAAAGAAAGTAGTCCAAATGGAGGTGAAATCAGCAAAAGAAGGGAAGTAATAGTACGAGGGGTACTTTCTGTTACAGTGATATCAGCTGATGACCTGCCCCCAGCTGATATAGGGGGGAAGGCTGACCCCTACGCCGTGCTGATTATGAAGAAGGCTCAAATCAAGAACAAAACCAGGGTATCCTTTCTTCTTCTTATTTAATTGTTGACTTCTCAGTAAATTCAGTAAATAATTTCTTTCCTTCTTTGGTAAGTAGGAAAAGAAATAATCCTCATTTTTGGATCTAGATTTTTAACTTTCCTCTTGTCCTCCACCTAATATTCAAGGGTGGATGTAGCGTTATAGATATGGGTTCATTAGAACCCAGTAGCTTTGGTTCGGACCCTTGTGTTAAAAGAATACACTAGATAAGTACAAAATCGATTTCGTACCCATTAAATCAAATGAATTGTGGTAGAATCCCGATCTTGAAGAACTCATCAAAAATATAGAAACCCGAACTCGAACCCATAAGGTTCAAATCCTGGATCTGCCTCTGCTAACATTTAGTCTATGGAAACCACGTATTATCCTTGTTTAGTGTAATTTGTCTTGATACTCATCATTCATAACTAGATATAGTGCTGAATGTTACTTACAACAACTACACCGTAATTCAAAGCAAGTTGGGGTCAGCTACATGACTGTCCATGTCGCAATATTTGAGCTTATATGATGTGAATTATCCTTGTTTAGTGCAATTTGGCTTGATACTCATTATCCATAGCATGATATAGTGCTGAATCTTACTTACAACAACTATACCGTAATCCAAAAGAAGTTGGGGTAAGCTATATGAATCTTCACTGTCCATGTCACAACATCTGAGCACATCTAACGTTTATTTATCCTTGTTTAGAGTAACTTGCCTTGATACTCTTCATTCATAACTAGATATAATGCTAATTATCACTTGCCAAAAAATATATATAATGCTGATTATCTGTTTTCCTTAGGTCGTAAATGAAAGTCTAAATCCAGTTTGGAATCAGACTTTTGACTTTGTTGTTGAGGACGGATTACATGATATGCTAATTGTGGAAGTCTGGGACCATGACACATTTGGAAAGGTAAGAGTATCTGTCCTTTAATAAAATATATGTTTACCCAATGACAATTGTTGTCCGCTTGTCCTCGTGCAAAATTATCGTTATGGACTTGTTTAACACCTGTAGTATCTTTCCAGATACCAACTTTTGAAAGCCTTCCATTTGCTTCTCTTTGAGGGAAGTTTGATTTTTTCAGAATGTATCCTAATATTTGGCATAATTCTTCTTCTGATGATCTATTCAACCTCTGATAAAAAAGGATATACCTTGGTTATATTTCATCTCTTCAACAAGTTTAGTAATGACCATAGCGGCCCTATTGTTCCGATGGAGAGAAGAACCAATGATTAGCTTTTCAGAAAAATTCCAAACGAACAATTTCATTGTTGTGATGTTTTCTTTAGCTGAAGTAACTCACTATGTGAGCGCTTTACTAAAACTTTGAATTGGTAAAATTGACCCTTTGTTTCTTTGTGGTTTTCTCTTTTTCATTTATGGTTTCAATGGTGCTTCGATAAGTAGTCATTAGTTTGTACGATCTCCCTTAGCATGTGAACTGCTTAGAACATTAAGGTTACGGTAAATATAACTGCAAAAGGAGTTCCATGTAGGAAGATATATAAAAACCAATGCGATAAATCAAGATGCAAGATGATATTTTTAAGGGCTCTTTCCTTTTCTTTTTTCTTATGCGTAAACTTTGGAGAGTACCATTTTTGTATCTTATTTCTTGACTGTTATACTGATTCATTTCCAATTCTTACAACTTCTTCACAGGATTTCATGGGAAAATGCATACTGACTTTAACCAGGGTTCTAATGGAAGGTGAATATAAAGACACTTTCGAACTATCCGAGTCTAAATCAGGGAAACTGAACTTGCATCTCAAATGGAACCCACAGCCATTATATAGAGACTCCCAATGATGAACATCAAACTTCAGTTTTTATTCTTGGTAGTTTTATACAGGGAGTAAAGTTTCTTTGATTCCGATATTGATTGGAAAAGACTACGTAGAATCGAATATTTTCTGTACATGATTTGATTAAAGCAGAAGAGAGATAATGTAAAGTTGTGAAACTTCTAAAGAGAAACTGAAGTTGAAGCTGGACAAGAATAAAATGGAGTAATATTTCAAGTAAAGTACATGTGGAATGAAATGCTCAGCCTCTTGATATTGATTATGTACTGCTACTACCTATTTTACTTTCTGTTCATTGAAAGCCACTTATATCACATAGCAACAAGAGTACTAAGGTTTTTGGATTTGTAATTAGGTGCAGAAGTTGATTTTGACATTAGGATATGTTGAAAAGTAACATTCTTGCCGCGGACTTTGGTTCAATGGTAAAAGCACAAGCTCTGACATGTGAGTTAGTTGCACGTCACGAGTTCGAACTTTATTGTAGATAAGAGCCAAGTGGAGAAGACTAGAGGGGTGTGTCATCATCCACCGAGTTTTAAACTGTGTGCCAACTTGGCCTCGGAGATTTCTCGGTTATAGTTAAAATGGTAATAGTATCATTTAGTGAGTTCATTTATGAGAATGGCCTCTAAAGCTTCAAGAAGAAATTTTGTTGGTGTCTTTTTAGTACCTTCCGAGTCTTTCTCTCCATAGTTAAATGATCTCCATAGTTTGAAGTATTTACTTGGTTAACATGGAATTGGGTGTCATTTTCCTGGGGTTGGTTATATGCAACAACAATTATTTCTCAATCTCAACAAGTTGGGGTTTGTTATACGAATTCTCACTGACCATGTTTCTCAACTTAAATTCATCTCAGGCTAACATTCTAAGTACGAAATAACAAATGAATGAATTAATGAAGTGAATGCGTTGTGAATTAAGCAACAACAGCATAATATCAGAATATAGCTTTTTCAAACTGAAATGATGCAATGAACAGCACAAACTCAAATTTTTTATTTTGAACGATCCATATTCAGACCCCGTTTGTGAGAAATCACTGAGCTTGTTGTTGTTGTTGTTATTGTAATGATCCATATTCAGTATGCTCCAGAAATTTGTTTCATAATTGTGCAGTTGAAGCCCTGTTTAAAATGACTGAATGGAGATGATTTTTGTTCAACTTTCTCCTGTGATGATTGCTTCCCCTGCATGAGCATAAGTTGCTTCAGTTTAATTTTTATATACTAACAGTATAAAAGTTCACTTAAAAGGCGACTACAGGTAACCGTCCATAATAAGTGGGATTAGTTCTTGGAAAATAAGATATATTACCTGTTGCAACATGTTAAAATACACTAAAGGACTATCCGGTGCAGAAAGCATCTTGCTCTCACGCAGGGTCTGGAGAAGAGAGGGGTGTGATGTAGACAGCCTACCCTGATTCAAGCATCAGTGGCTGATTCCACGGCTCAAACCCGTGACCTATAGGTCAACGGAGACAACTTGACCGTTGCTCCAAGTCTCCCCTTCCAAGTTAAAATACACTAAAAGGGCAGTCCGGTGCACTAAGCTCCCGCTATGCGCGGGGTTCGGAGAAGAACCGGACTACAAGGGTCTATTGTATGTAGCCTTACCCTACATTTCTGTAAGAGGCTGTTTCCACGGCTCGAACCCGTGACGTCCTGGTCACATGACAACAACGTTACCAGTTATGCCAAGGCTCCCCTTCCATGTTAAAATACATTGATAGCATAAAAATTCTTTATACTGTCAGTCTATATAAGTTAATTCCACATTGCTTGTTCAGATCAAGGCGAACTAGAATAAGCTGATTGATCAAGTAGAAGGGTGGATTAGCAAACATACTTAAACGTCAAACAGCATTACATATAAAGACTGAAGTATACACAGTAGAAGAATATGAGAAATGTGGAAGTGAAACAAGCTGTTAAGCTAGAATCATACTGACATATCTACATGAACGAGTCGATTTTAATGAGAAAGAGATCATACTGACCAGTACTGGTTATGTAACACGAACGAGTCAATTTTAACTTTCTTTCCGTCGTCATTTCTGTTCCAATGGTATAATGCATGTGTTCTGTTCTTAATCTCTAGCGTCGAATGACCATAACTGGCTTCGCGGAATGCAGAATAATCTGGTTGAGGATCTCTAAATCTGCACAGATAAACAAATGAATATATAGTTTCAGAACAAGTTAAGAAGTTAAAAGATGTTGAAAACATAAGTAAAATAATCAATCCACACAGTATAAACTTACCTTGAAGCAAGACCTTCTTGATTTCCTCCATCACCAACTGTTATGTACACGGGAGCTGCTTTATCTGGTACGGGATAAGGATCACCACTCGAGACATTATAGTGTATATTTGACACGCGATACTGAAAAAATAGAAGCCATTTAGCAAATCTTAACATAATTATCACAAGGCGGAAAAGTTGAATATCGCACCAAGCAGTGGCGGAGCCACATGTAATTGACACCCCTTCATCGGAAAGCTAACTGTGTAGCCAGGTAATTTTATTCTTATGTATATATACACTATATATTGACCCCCTTGGCTTATTTACGGCTTTACTTCTTTATATTTTGACCCCTCTTAGTGAAAATCCTGGCTCCGCCACTGGTACTAAGACAAGATAGTAAAGTGAAACTGAATTCTATCAAACTAATTCCTATTTACAAGTCAGTAGTGGTCTCTTTCTTCTGGGGGAAAAATGCAGATCTGTATCACATTTTTCTATTTTATTTTCTTTGTCCTGAGAAAAGAAGCAATGCCAGTATGATGAAATGAAGCGACTTACTGATCGTTCGTAGGCATGGACATGGCCGGCAAAGATTACATCAACTTTGTGTTCAACGAACCATCCTTCGAATACGGATCTCATACTTTCACCCTCCATAAAATGGGCTACATTAGTGTTGTAGATAGGAACATGCATAAGAACTATAAGCCAAGGAGTCTTCTCTCTGTCCACATTCTTTAATTCCTCTCTCAGCCACTTCCATTGTGGTGTATATTTTACTGCATGATTAGAGACATAAAAGACTAAGTAACTAAATGATAAAAGTACAGCTTGGTGCACAAAGCATCGCGCATTCACGTAGGGTTCGAGAAAGGGCCGCATCCTAAGGGGTATGATGTAGACAGCCTATCCTGACGCAAGCATCAGTGGCTGATTTCACGGCTTGAACCCATGACCTATAGGTCACATTGAGACAACTTCACCGTTACTTCAAGGCTCCCCTTACAAAGAGAAATACATACATGAAATGATGCTTACTCCCACAGCCAAAAAGAACAAGAAACATTTTTCCATCTCTATACAACAAAAATAACAAAACCAGTATAATCCCACAAGTAGGGGTTGGGAAGGGTGGTGTGTTCGCAGACCTTACCCCTACCTTCGAGAAGGTAGAGAGGTTGTTTCCGGTAGACCCTCGACTTAGGAAAATCAAGAATCAAGACAATGAAACGTTGTTGCTTCGCTTTAAGAAAATCAAGAATCAAGACAATGAAACGGGACATACCGAAAGGAGAATAGGTTGATAGCACAATTATGTGAGCAGATGCCCTCCTGATGGAATACCAAAGTGGGCTACTGCTTTTTGAAGCTTGATAAGGTGTAGGATATCTGTACAGATATGACTTGAATGGAGTTACTTCCCCCTGTGTATAATGGAAAAAAAAAACAGTCAATTTTTAAACATTGTAGGAATGAGGCATAAGCACTTGACATGTTTGAATCAGACATGAATAAGGAAGAATTGGTCTCAAGTAGAATATAGCAGGAAACAACATTATCTTAAACATCTGAACTTGAGCTGTGTTGCAGAACTTTACCATATACGGCATATATTCTATCTCATGATTTCCGGCTGACCAAATCCAAGGTTGATATGCTGCACTTTGTTCAACAAAGCGGCCCCATGTATCCCAACGGACACCGACATCATGATACTTATATCTGTCCGCGTAAGAGAGATCTCCTACAAATAGTACGCTCTTCGCTCCACTATCCATGTAATGCTGAAGCGTTGAAAGAGAGTTATATGTTTGTCCTAGATCACCTGAGGAAAGAACAATGCATTGAACACTGAAGAGTTGCTTCATTGGATTGTTGAATTCTTATTGTCATAACTACTAGTAATCTTTCAGACTGCCATGTTGAATAACTCTAACAATACAACAACAACAAACCCAGTGAGTTCCCACAAGTGGGGTATGGGAAGGATAGTGTGTACGTAGACCTTATACTCCTACCCTGGACGGTAGAGAGGCTGTTTCCGATGACCCTCAGCTAAAGATAATATAAACATCATAATGCGGTAAAGTTCAACAATCTTTCAGAAAGCGGCTAAGGGTAACAAAATATAAACTACTTACCTATGATGCCAAATTTGTAAGAAGCATCTGGATCAACCTTTGGAGGAGTTTCAAACCAAAACTTTCGAGCAGAGTCACCATCTCCAATTTCATAGTAATACTTCGTGTCATACTGAAACGAAGGTAAAACTAATCTGTCAATCCAGATAGAAAATGGAGGATAGCATTTAAGACATCAGGGAACATTAGTGTCATGAAACTTTATATGCTATTATCAATATCCAAAACATTAATCAACCTATTGTTCTTAATCCGTGTGGCAAGTCAACTTAATCTCATAAAATTGAAGAGGAAAAATATTTAAAAAAACTAAGAAAAGTGATCAAACTACCAACTTACAGCAATGAAATACTTCCAAGCAGCAAATTTAGTGGTACTTGTGTGTTTGTTGAAGGTATATGAGAAAAAAACTCAACTATATACTTTTTGCTAATATAGTTGTGTGATGTATAAAAAAGGGCAGCCCGGTGCACAAGCATCCCGCGTTCACACAGGACCCGGGGAAGGGCCGCACCGCAAGGGTATGATGTAGACAGTCTATCCTACTGCAAGCACTAGTGGCTGCTTCCACCGCTCGAACCCATGACCAATAGGTCACATGGAGACATTTGTGTGATGTATATGACCCTTAAATGAAGAGATGACATCGTGATTCTTTCGTCTTCCAAAACTATAAAAACGAGAATTCTAATTACCTCAAGGCCATCAAGAAAGCACTGATGTATATAGCCAGACGTGTAGTTGTAAAATGTGTAGTTTGTTACTGATCCCTCAGCTGTAAACGCATATTTTTCCTCAGATAATCCGTAACGTACTTGACTAGGCCCCGGTTTATCAGGCGTAATCCACGAAACTAGGACTGACTTCCCTTCATAGTCGCCCTGTGTTATATGCACCTATAGTAGAATGAAGTTATTAGCATTTTAGAACTTTAGCATGAAAAAACCTGCACTTTATCTACAGTAGTCACAAAGCGAAAATGGCATTCTAGCTTGTCATGATCTTTGAATATATGAGCTGAAACAGTAAATTGCGCTCGAAGATTATGAGTGTAGTCGATATTTTACAATTTATTTTTTCATCATGTAATTTCTCATTCTATTATATAGTGGTTATAGGCAACTTTGCAATTTGAAGATCAAATATGTAATACTACTTGACTTTGAAATTATTCTACCTAAAAGCTATGCTGCGCGGATGCTTCAAAAATGCCGCTACCTAAAAGCTATGCTGCGCGGATGCTTCAAAAATGCCGCCAGGTGTTTGTTGGATCCTTCAAAAGTTCGGCAACATTTTGGAGGATCCGAGCAACATAGCCTACAAATCTGTCTTAATACTTCAAGGGGTTCAAATTTCAATAAAAATTCTATACCGTTACCAATTATGTTTCATTGTAAACAACAACAACAACAACAACCCAGTGGAATCCCATACTCGTGGGGTCTGGGAAGAGTAGTGTGTACGCAGACCTTACCCCTACCCCTACCCCTACCCTGGGTAGGTAGAGAGGCTGTTTTCGATAGACCCTCGGCTCAAAGAAAAGAAAAGGAAATCATGCTACTCGAATTGAATTATCTCGAGTTCCTGAACCGGTTACAAGAACATTACACTAATTCACAGATATTTTCTTATGAAAGATCAAATGAACAAAGTTAAGGTAACTTACTTGCTGTGGAGCGTTATAACCCTTAGGAACTGCAAAAACCTCATTGTCAAGAGGAATATCCACAGATGGCCATTCATTACGAATAAATGAACTCGTTATACCAGCATTCCCATTGTCTATCAATGTCAAAAAGACGGACAACGAAAAGAAGAGATGAAGCAACATTGACTCCTCTCAAGTCTCAAGTAACAAGATTTCAGTAACACCAATTGATGAATTCACTGCATCAAGAAAGAACCAATATTATTGTAGTAATTAGAAACAGAAGTTTGGATAAAGAAATGATAGCTGCATATGTCAAAGAATGCGTTTTGTTTCCATTTTAGAAGAAAACTCCAGTTTTCATGAACATATTACTAAAAGAGTTTAACTTATACAATAATCTTACTGTGTAAAACTTTCTACACTATCAGGATACATAAAATATATTTAAAGGCAGGGGCGGACCTATGCTATATCGAGAGGCGTCACCGACATCCGTAAAGTTATGTATACAGGTATATGTTCTTAGATAATAGGTAGTGGGCAACTTATATACAAAATAGATTTTGGTTGAATCTAAAAGTGCACCCGCAACCTTCAAATCCTGGATTCACCTGTAATTTGCAGGTAATTATCGATAAAAAGTGGGATTTTTGTATTCTTGAAAATAAGACAAGTTACCTACTTCAAGAGGTAAAAGTGATATAATAGTGTAAAAATACTTTATACCGTCGGTGGATGTAAGTCAAACTCAAACTCAAACTCATGAAAACATGCATCATACCACATAAATGAATGTGGAGTTTAAGTTTATACACTGACAATATCAAACATATTTACAGAATCAGGTTACTTTACAAGATAATTGCAAGAAATTTTTTATGATAAACATTAATCGATAACCTGATAAAAATGATAGTTAATCTACTAGTATATACTCTATTAGACTTCAGTGTAGTGTAATATATCTTTAGCAATCAACAATAACAACAATCCAATGGAATCCCGCGATGGGGTCTGGGGTACGCAGACCTTACCCCTACTCCGGCGAAGAATCGTTAGCAATCAATGTTTATAATTTAAATCCTAATTGGTTGTGCATTAGAAGAATAAGAAAGTGATAATAGGAAGAATACCTGGAAATTAGGCTGAAACCACTAGAGAGTGAAATATTATTGGCAAGTTGTAGCTGTGTGGAGTTGTTGGTATTAGCATTCAGTGTATTGCTTGTTTGATGACTAAAGTGTTGAGTATAAGTAATAAATGATGAGTAGGAGACGTAAAAATAGCAACAGGAAATGGCGCAAGATTGGATCCAAGATATGTTGTCTCAGTCAATATATATTTAATTATGGTTAAAATAGCACGATCTAGCTAGTGTTTGCCAAGTCATTGAAAATAGCCACTATTTACTGGAGTTCGGTGCACCTGTGTATGAACTTCCAGCATATTATGCTGGATTGGTATACTTTGTTGGCTCCAACATAATATACCGGAGACAGGAACACCGGTGCTCCAAACTCCAGTATATTATGCTGGATCAGTATATTATGCTGGATCAGTATATTATACTGGAACTCCAGTATATTAGACTTAATATACTGGAACTCCAGTACATTATGCTGGAGTATTTTTTCGGATTTTAAATAGTGTTTTCGTTCAGATTTATCTTTACATGAAAAGTGACGATTACCTTTGAAACTGGCTATTTTTAAATGATCACTTATAAATCTGACTATTTTTGAATTTCTCCCTTATTCATGGGACTGTAGTTATGGGTTTGTTTTATTATTATGATAAATAGAGTGATGAGGATGTCAGAACACTCTTCCATGTGGCTTGGGAAGTTTTTTTTTTCTTTGTTAATTTTGTATTTTAATTTTTTTATATTAAAATCATTTCGCGTATGTTAAGAGATTCAATACTTTATATATAAAGTAATAAAAATTCGTTGTATTACACTGGTACAATTTTCTGAAGAATGGAATTTGGTTAAAGCTCTTGCGTCCACTTAGCTTCACCCTTAATCGTAGTGATTGTATCAGCTTGCGATAGAATAAATTATCTAAAAAAATTTATCTCTTTAATTTGAACCTTGCTATCCTTGAATGTAAAGCAAGTTTAGTGGGAAGTTTCCTAACGTGGTTACTTCACTGAAGTACTCTGGCAATCCATTATTTTTTTCTTTTAAGAAACTATTTGTAATACTTCCTCCGTCTCATTTTATATGAAACTGTTTGATTTGGTATGAAATTTGAAAAAGAAATTAAAATTTTAACATTTATGATCTAAAATAAACCTTAAATAATGTGTGGCTATAAAATCTCATTAAATGTAAAATGAAAAGTTTAAAGTTAAATTAATTTTAAAAATTAAAAAAGATGTCATTTTTTTTCGGGACGAACTAAAAAATAAAATATGCCTAACATAAAATGAGAGAGGAGGTGTTATTTTTCGTCTGTTATGAAGCTAAGTGGACTAGTATGTTAAAATTTTGTCTTCGTTAAATATCATTATTATATAATGAAATGGACAAACATTTTTTTTAATTATCTTTTTGGTCATATACTTGGAAGATTAAAAGAGTCTAGCGAACACTGTTCCTAAAATGCATATGTTAGGCGTATAAAATATTCAATAGCCAAAATACAAGGATAATTGGTCCAATTTTCTCATTTAATGGTATTTAACATAAAAACATATTAAATTTTTATAACCGAAGAATTCTCGAGGACTAGCTACGCATAGTTCGAACCCTGGTGGATAATGGAATTGTCCATCTACCCTTCTCCACTTAAATACCAGACTTTTCCTGCGGTAAAATTTGAACACGTGACATGCGCCTAACCACACATCATGTGTTGTACTCTTACCACAAGGCCAAGCATTGGTGGTCACCACCCTTACCAGAGTGTAGCTTTGCCCCTGAGCAGAGGTACTTGTAACTGTGACTTTAACTCCAAAAGTCTTAGCAAATTTTACAGCCATATGACCAAGACCACCCAATCTCGTGCCTATGTCAAATAATTCGAGGAAAGATTTAAGTTTTATGCACAGACAATAATAAAAATATTCTCATGCAACTCAGATAATTTTAACTTCCTTGTTCAATATAACCGTTACAAACTAGCCATCCAAAAACAATTTCTGTTTTTTTTTTTTTTTAAAAAAAAAAGGAGCACGACATCATCTAGAAGCTGTTCGACTTACCTTCTGACTTGCCTTTGAGCTAAGCAACACAAAATGGGGTCGAATCCAGTGTTATCAAAGACGAAAAGTGCAAAAAAACTCTAAGGTTCATGGGGCTTTAATAAAAAAAGACGCAATTGAGGAAAAATATAAATATGTATGTGTAGTTCTAGACTAATAATATAAGCATAAATAACAAATCTATGGACAAAGAAATTAAAAAAGAAAAAGAAAAAGAAAGAATAAACTGAAATATCAATTGTTTAGTGTCGCATTTTTAGGATTACGCTCATTGGCAAGAAAAAGTATGCCTTAGAGCATTGATGACGACACTAAAGGGCGCGCTAAGCTAGGCGAAGCGCTCAACATGTTTTGCGTCTCGCTTCAAGGCTTAAGCGCGCTTTAAGTGCGCCTTTGACAACAGTGGTCGAATCTGATTCCATTTCAACCAACAACTCAAGATAGAGCTCTCTGGAGAAGCAAGGTTCATAACAAGCCCAAGCTTGTTGGAACTCTCACCTAAGTTGCACAGTTTAAATGTCAATATGGTATGGATCCCAGTTCAATACATCCATGTGAATTTTCATGGCCATTTTTGCTGCTTTCTTTGCAGCTGATACTGCATAACTTGGAACTTTGACAACTTTCCAGGATATTTCATTTGCTTCCATGAATTCCAGACATTCATGCAACATACAGACAATGTCTTGATCTGAACAGCAATCTGAATTATGGAGTTCCTTAATCAAGATCTGGTTGTTAGACAAAATTACGATTGGAGAATCTACGACGAGGGACCATTTCACTGCATGCTCAAAGGCATGTACTTCTGCATGTAGTTTGCTACTGACCTTCAACGATCTTCTAGCTTCAGCCACTTTAACCCCAGAGTTCCACCGATAAGCTATCCATGCCATTCCGGCCCATTCTTGTCCCTCTTTCCAAGCTCCCTTAACCTCCATTATTAGTACGTTGTCGTCCAGCTGTACATCAGAATCAACGTTGAAAGCATTGAGATCGACGATTGTTCCTCTATGCACCTCATAGAGCTCTCTTATTGCTATGCCTACAGAATATGGAAACCTTGAGTGCTCTTTAATGGCAGTGGAAATGACTTCTGAGGGAACAAAAACAGCTCTTTCTTGCACTAACTTGTTTCTGTGCTTCCAGATCGCCCATAGGACAGCTAACGAAAAACTGAAATCTTCATTTTCAGGAGCTGACAAAGTCCAGGTAAGTAACCACTCTTGAAATTCAATTGGCGACCCAACTTTAAAGTTTAGGCCCAATCTTGATCCTTCCCAGACTAGCTGAGAGTATTTACAGTTCAAGAATACGTGGGTCAAGTCTTCAGCAAAGGATAAGCATCTAGGGCAAGTCGATAGAACTGGCAAATTATAGAAAATAAGTGTTGCATAAAAATATCTTATTTCCCCTGGGACTGACAGTTCTTTCAACCTCCCAGTACACAACTCGAGATCCTCTTCACGCAAATGCTCAAGCTCAAATCTGTTAGACTGCCAAGCCCACTCCAACCTCATCACCTCAATATCATCAGCATATACCAGACGAACTCCCCAGTTTGATGACATATGGCAATCTAGAGATGCCTCAAATCTACAATAGTCATTTGGATTATCTATCAACATTGTGCCCTTACCTTTACCATTAAAATGTACCTTTCTTAGGTCCAATTGTAAGAAAATAAAGCAGTCATGACTGCCATATGCTACTACATTTGACACTTGCAAAGGAACTATTTTTTCAGGAGTTCGTTGATCCATAGCAGTACGTTCTGGCACCAATTTTGTAGTGATTGTTGCACCCCAGAACAAACTGAATGCAAACTGCCTATTACGGCTTTTCTTCGGTGATTCATCATTTAAGAAAGGAAGCTGACAATAGATAGCAAATCCCATAAACTTATTATTATACCAGTGTTTCTTCAGGTTGAAGGAAATCCTCGTTGAACATGTCTTACGATACTTGAACCACCTAGGAACCTTGGCACTTGGATCACTTCTAGGGAAGACAATACCAAATCTCCCCCCTCTGCGCTGGTCGTCAAAAACCAACTACAACAATATTAATGTTACACGATTAGTTCATTTTTAAACATCTACAAATACAAGATTACATCCTTTTATAACCGTGGTGTCCGGGCAAGCTTGCATGCACAGCCTCACCTCAACTAATTCCAGAGGGTACCTGCTATCTCCAACCATTACAGGTACCCGGTAATTCTGTCAACCAAGGCGTGGACAGATGGGAAGAAATCACATACTCCCTCCGTTCCAATTTATGTGAACCTGTTTGACCGGGCACGGAGTTTAAGAAAAAATGAAGACTTTTGGAATTTGTGGTCCTAAACAAATTAAAAAGGGGCCCAGAGTATTTGTGTGGTTATAGAAGCTTCTCATTAAGGGTATAATTGTAAGTTTAAGCTAAATTGTTTCCAAATTTAGAAAAGGGTCATTCTTTTTGGAACGGACCAAAAAGGAAATAGGTACACATAAACTGGAATGGAGGGAGTAGTATTTTTGCCTCCACTGAGATTTAAACCTGAGATCTCGGGGTTCTCAACCCATTTAATTGACCACAGGCCACACCCTAAAACGAACAAAATCGCATCCTTGCATGCTTAAAATCTCAGAAAGTTTATACGGAAAGACAGAAGGAGAAGCATACCTTAAGCTGCACTATTGACAAAAATGGAAGGAGAATCTCTTCTAGCATGTCCGTCATGTTCTTCCTTAGACAGTTTCTCATCTGCGCACCAGAACTTTCCCTGCGTGAAGCACACCACATCTCTTGCAACTTCTGATTAGCGAATGAGACCAAGTACAACTCTTTGTACATGGTTGGTAGTGTTGGAATGCTTTCCAAAGCAAAGCGATCGTCTAGAAACAGTTTCATTATACGTGGAGGAAGCTCTGGCAGCTCTGTTAGCTTTTCACAATAGGTTATGTCAAGGTGTCGAAGGCGGTTAAGTAGCACAATGCTTTTAGGTAAAAAGGTGAAGTTATTTCTGCTCAGGTTTAACTCTAGTAGTGAGGCCAAGCATCCAAGATCCTCAGGAATACTGCCATCAAATAAATTGCAAGCACTAAGATCCAGTCTTATAAGTGTGCAAAAGACTGATAAAATGCTGGGCAGCTGAAACTTCAAATCAAGTTGGGCAAAACATCCCCAACTGCATAAATCGCTGACATGAAAAGCCTTGGGTACTTTCCGAAAAGATAGGTACTTCAGTTTCCTCAAGCATGTGATGGAATTTGGGGTGCACCAAACTGATGTTTCACTCGCATCAAGCCCCTCCAAGCTCACTAGTTCACAAATGTCTTCTGGCAAGTTCTTTAGTTTGGTACAGCCATTGAGGTACAGATACTTCAAATTTTTCAACCTGCACATGCTGCTAGGGAGCGTTTCAATGTTACTGCAGCCACTCAAATCTAGATAGCTCAGGAATGATGATGTTAATTCAAGTACCCCAAAGTTTGGCTTCTTGAATTCTGTTAAACGATTCACATTTTGCTGAATTTCTGGAACTTTTCTCAAACTCCGACAACCAGAAAAATTTAGAACTTCAAGAGACCCGGATTGAAACTTAGAGGGAAGCCTTTCAAGTTTTTCACAACCTTCCACATCTAAAATAGTAAGCTTTTTGAGGGCTCCAACAGATGGGTGGACCTCTACCAGCCGAACACAGCGACATAGGATTAGCCTCTCCAAATTTGGAGACCCGGAAAGGTCTGAAATTTGGATTAATTTTCGAGAATCACTCAAATCAAGAATACTCAACCTGTTTAAACGCTGTTTTGAACAATTAAATGAAATCAATGAATAAGTATACATTAAATTCATGTCTTTTGTATGCGCAATTACAGTTTTTTAAACTTAGATCATAGAAGAAAATAAGTCTTAAACTATATATTCGCAGAGGACTCAAAGACTCAAAATCATACCTTTGACCCCTTCCAGAGGTTAACCACGTAACTGCAATGCATAATAAGCCCCACCAGCTTTGGTGGTTCAAAATTTTCTGGCAATGATGGTGAAGGATAATATGACCAATTAATCCAGCATAAGCTGTTAGGAAGAAACTTAATGGGGTCATGAGAGCAAAAATACATGACGTTCTTGTGAGACGGTGATACAAATATTCTTAGTCGCTTCATATGTCTGAAGACTTCATTGCTCAGGTGAATGGTATTCTCCTCTGAGTTGGACATCAACGGGATTAGTATGACTTCTATCGCTTCTCCGCCCTGAGAGGATTCAAAAATTGCATTAACACAGCGCAAAGGACAAGTCATGCTTTTATAGTTGCACATGACAATTGAGTTTAATGCTTTCAAAAATGAATCTGATCAAACAATGATTTCTGTTTTCTAACAAAATGTGGGAACTAATTTTATCCATCCTTTGAAATAGACATTTGTATCACTTTCATGAAAAAGACCAGACGTGGGACTATCCTGTTGTGAGCAGGCAAGAGCAGAATATTGTAAAATTGTGATGGCTTAAAAATTTATCAGGATAAATTGCTACCGTATGTTCACTTAAAATATCAGCAATATCCTCGTGAAGCCATATCCGGCGCCTTGGGTTTTCTTGCACTGCTATACGTCGGCCCATTTCTCGAATCAAATCATGTATCCCAATCCTACCAAATGATGATACAAAAAGGAGGGACTTCTCAACCAGGATATCAATAATTATTTCAGTGAACAGTTTTTTCAGAGTAGCAGCATCTGATGTTACAAATGAACATGCTAAGTCTAGAAAAACTTGCTTCACTTTATCCCCTAGCCCATCATAACTTATCTTAAGCTTTGAAATGATTTCATCATTAGGAATATCTCGCAGTGTATCCAGTGCACTCCTCCACTGCTTTATGTTCCGTCCACGAAGGAAGGAACCCAAGACTTTAAGCGCCAGGGGAAGACCACCAGCGTACTCTACAACTCGGTGAGAGAACCGCTTAAAACCATTGACTGGAGATGTCTTTCTAAAAGCATGCCAACTAAACAGTCGAGTCGCTTTAGCTATAGCAAGTAAACTAACTCTGTAAGTGTCATCACAGTTCAAAAGCAAGTGCTTGTCCCTTGCTGTTATAATAATTCTACTGTATTTACCAAACCAATCATGGGCTCCAGCTAGCCCATCCAACTGGTCTTGGTGATCCACATCATCAAGAACTACTAGAACCTTCTTAAAGCCAAGCCTTTTTCTTATTATATCAATTCCACCATATTCATCAGCAAGATTCACAGATTCAATGGTCAGCACCTTAGAAAGCAGAGTCTTTTGCAGAGACAGCAATCCTTGTTTAGCTTGATTTTCTTTAATATTTGCAACAAAGCAAGCACCGTCAAATTGATGAGAAAACCTGTCAAAAATGGATCTTGCAATGGTGGTCTTGCCAATACCACCCATCCCTGAAATCCCGATAAATCGAACATCTTCACATTTCATCATCAACATCGAGCTTACAGCCCGAATTTGTGATTCTGCTCCAACTAGAGTGCCACTGATCATTGACTTCTGGCACAGATCATTAGCTATCTCTTTCACAACGTGTTGAATGCACCAAGACTCATTTCTGCACAAGAGAGAGAAGACAATGACAATCTGAGCGAAAAAAGTTTAAAATAAAGAAGAGAAAGAGAACAACAACAACAAACCCAGTGTAATCCCACTAAGTAGGGTCTGGGAGGGGTAGAGTATACGCAGACCTTATCCCTACCTTGTGTAGGTACAGAGGCTATTTCTGATAGACCCTCAAGGTAAAAGTGAAAAAGAAGCTGACACATGCGTAGTAACAACAACAAGATAAGGTGATAAGGTGACAAGGTGATAGAATAATCGAAGCGAAAGAACCAACATATAGTACAAGAAATCTATGGAAAAGAAGGTACAAAAATACGGGACTAATAATAAAGCTACGGGCATGTAAAGGAGACACTCCCGCCTATCTACTAACCTTCTATCTTAATTTCCAAAATAGATAAAAACAAAAACAAAAGAACAATAAAACAAAAAAGGAGACTGTGGAAGTAATTTGGTATCATCAAATAGGATTACATAGGAGTTGTAAGAACAAAAAAGATAGCAATGACCTTACTTTGTTTCTTTTTTTTTTTTTTGGATTCTACTATAGTGAAAGATCTTTCACTTCGCCATAGCAGGAATCTCGCTAACCTTCTTGGCCATTTAGTCTAACCATAAGGATCCCCTCCTGCTTACCCACCCACCGTGAGGCAAAAAGGATTGTAATCACCGTACTTATTAGAGCGAGAGAACTTTAGCTAACCTGTGTTTTTACAGGTGTGAAAGGTGAACGAGTAGACAGTGGCGTACGCAGGATTTTACGTAAGCGGTGTCATAATTTGAAGAAATGGACAAATGAATAAATGACTATAATGGCGAGCAGTGTCATTTTCTATACGTATCCCCAATATTTTCATTTTTCTTATAAATATCTAGTGAAAATTTTCGACCAAGCGGTGTCCCGTGACACCCCATGGTATAAGGTGCACACGACCCTGCGAATAGATGGCTGGGTTTTGCAGTTAAATAAATTCATGAGATACACAAAGTAATTGGTACATCAATATTTTTGCTTCCTAGCCCAAGACTAGAGAAGTCTATGAATGAAAGTTCTTTGTGCAAATGCACCCATTATCGAAGAAAAATTCAACAGTATAAGAAATAACTTTCTGCAGAAAGATCAAGAATTTTAATGCCAAGGAGAAAAGCTACTGACCCATTGTAAGTACTACTATGCAGATCATGGCCTGTCAAATTGGCTGCTTTATTTAAGGCTTTCCTCCAATTATGCACCTTATTGGCGTCACCCTTGAAATCCTCCTCATATTTGGAAAAGGCTTCGGCAAAACTATTTCTCTGGGAACGTACTTCTGATGGATTTATGTCATAGAAAATTGGTACAACTACCTGCCCAATTTCATTTCGACATTCCATGATCTTCACTAGCTCATCCAAGCACCATTTGGATGATGCATAGTTCTTTGAGAAGATGATAATGGCAAACCTTGACCGTTTAATGGCACTGACAAGTTGAGGTGAAATCGATGCACCTCGTTCTAGTGTTAAATCATCTTTGAAGGTATTGATTCCAGCCCGACGTAATTCTCTGTAAAGGTGGGCTACAAAGGTCTTACGCGTGTCTTCTCCTCTAAAACTCAAGAACACATCATAATCCCACTGTTCGGAAGGTGGTAATGAACTATAAGAGGTAGATGGCATCTTTAACCAAGTAAATTGGATATTGGAGAACTTTTCTATCCTCTATAAATTGCCAAAAAATGAATGAATGACCTGCTGTTGCACTTCCTCAACAATTTACTGAAAGCTGCCTTCTAAAGAGTTGAATGACTCCAGGAATCACTAAACAAAACAACAAACAGATTATTCCAAAAACTATTTCTATTGGTCAAGTTGTGAAACAGAATATTAAGACAACTCAATCAGATTTAATGACATTCCAAGTTACTTCATTATCTTTTTTCCTCCGAGGGCCAATGCCACACGGTCCGAAATTCGGTGGATGATGACCTGCCCCTCTATGCATTTATCTGCGATAAGGTTCGAAATCGTGACATGCGCCTAACCCGCACATAATAAGTCGCGCTCTTACCACTAGACTAAAGCCCTAGGGGCCCAAGTTGCTTCATTATCTTCGAATAGAACTCCTCAACAATGTTCACTCTGGTTAGTCATATTCTATTCAATGCACTGACAAAAGATAAAATCTGAAGCCTACTACTAGCCAACGAAAGATCAATGAAAGCTGCATTATTCCTGGGGGCGGATCTAGTAAAGGAGCTATGGGTTCACTCGAACCCAGTAGCTTTGAACTTAGACAAGCTACTTAGACCTTGTTTGCATTAAAAGACTCAGTAAATAAGTACAAATAACATATTTCGAACCAAGTAAATTAGACGGGATGTGGTAGAGTTCCAAATCCAAACTTATAAAGTTCAAATCATGGATCCACCTCTGATTATTCCTCTGCCCACCCTATACTTAACAAAACTCCTGCGCGCAACCAAGTGGCAGAGCCACACGCAAAGTTATACTGCGTAAATAGAGTAAAATCAAAATTCTTCTTATAAACATATAATGTTTTGGATCTCCCATGAGAGAAATACAGGTCAAAATCACATGTGTGAATTTCTTTTTTTAAATCCCTTGTAACAATTCCTGGCTCCACCACTGCTCACAGCAGTCTGTCATCCAACTAAACAACAATTCATGCAACATTTCACCCAATCCTAATGGGGGAAAAGCCCACTGAGAAGCAGACCCCAAGGTCCAATTTGCAATATTCAGAAAATAAACATGATTACTGTAGCTGAAAAGAAAAATTAAGAACTTGAGCTTGAAAAGTGTAAAATTTGCAAAAAGATCTATTTTTTCTTTTCTCTTTTTGGTATTTGCTATAAAACTAGAGGCAGCTTCAAGGAATCTTGAACACATTTTAGCATCATTTGAACCATTCTCATATTAGGAAATGAAACTGAAAGTAATCCCAACTCACATTTCACAACAGAAAATACCACTACAATAACAACAACATACCTAATATATTCCTACAGAGTGTGGGATTTGGGGACAATAATGTGTATGCATATTTTATTCCTACCTTAGAGGTAGAGATAACTATTTCCAATAGACCCTCGGCTCAAAAGAAATATAATGAAGAAGCCATGTTGAAAATAATAAAGACAAGAACAATAGCAATAGCAAAATAGCACAACAACAACAAAAAAAAAATCCAATGCAATCCCATAAATGGAGTCTAGGAAGGGCAGTGTATACGCACACCTTACTCCTACCTTATAGAGATAGAGAAGGGGAAAACAACAGATAACAAGAAAAGATACTAATAATTAGAAAATAAAACACACCTTAGAGATAGAGATGTTGTTTTCGAAAAACCATCGGCTCAAGAGAAATATAGTAAATAAGCCATGTTGAAAATAATGAAGACAAGAACAATAACAACAGCAAAACAACATGCAATAAGAAAATGCAAACAAGGGAAAACAACAGGTAGCAAGAAAAGATACTAATAATTAGAAAATAAAACACAACTAATTCAGCTTAAAAAGAAAATGAACCACCTTAGTTAGTTGATAAAGGAGCTGTTTTACTTGCTTAAAAGCACATTACATCCAAAAAAAGATGAAATAATGAGCAGCTCCCTTGTAGTTGAATCTTCAATAGATCCTAATCTGCTTAAGAGGAAACCATGATAGTTGACTTTTAGAAGAGAGAGGGGAGGTTGACTAATTTATTTGGCCCGAATTGTACTTGCACCATTAGGGTGGGTATGTGACAAAAAATAATTTAGTACTCCCTCCGTTTCAATTTACATAAGATTTTTGAACTTGTGGTGTAAAATGAGGCACATATATTTTGTGTGGCTATAAATCATTGTATAAAGGTAAATTGTTTCCAAATAAGGAAAATGGTCATTCTTTTTGGCACGGACTAAAAAGGAAATAGTTTCACATAAATTGAAACGGAGGGAGTAACTATATTGTTATAAAAATATAATGATTTTACTGTTATATCGAGCAGGAAGGGGAGTGATCACGCCCAACTATGCCTTATAAAAAGGACAATGCGGTCGTTGCAAATATAATCCGGTTTACAAGTCCGGAGTCGAATCCCACAGAGAACTAAGGTTTAGCTACAGCTGTTCACTATCACCAAGAAGACAAGCTTGAACAATTCCTAACTTATAGATATTAAGATTCTTCTGTTTAACTAATTAACAAACAAATTAAAATAGTAAATTAACAACTAACAATACTGAGGGTTAGAGAAAAGATTAAGGAGGTCTAGAGTTATGATTTCCCCAATTGTCGGAATCCTTCCCGCTATGTCTTCTATAATTTCGCCTAAGTATTCTCTACCGATCATGAGCACTCATATTACCGTAAATCTCTCCCGAGTAATTACGACAATTTACTAGACGCACTCTCCCGAGCTACGCTAGCTGGCTTTTAATACAGCTCACTTCAAATCGCACCCAAGGCTTCGTTATCCCTAATCCCGCCTTTAAACCCTCGGTTATTGACCCCTCATATACTTTGGGAGTGGTGTTGTTTAACAATTACCTAAATATGCACTCTCTCCCGAGTTATGCATACTAAATAGGCACAGCTAATTGAGAGCTCTTCAACCAACCACAATATAAACGTAGTTGAACAAATGGAGAAAAGCTATGGCTCAATTATATAAAAACATAACAAGAATTTATCCTACAAAAGGTTATATCAAAACTCTAGATAACAAATTAGCTATTCATAATAGTATGTAAAACTACAATACTAAAAGTCATAACCAACAATGAAAAATAGGAAGAGGAAGGAAAAACTCGTAGAAGAATTCTCCGCCTTGCTCCCAATGTGTTCTTGCCTCCTTAGGTCGAATCTATGTCTCAAAATATGTCCCCTTCTTGTTCTTCGCCGGCCTCCTTTGTTTAATATAGGGTTTAGGACTTAAAATCCCATGTTTTGCACTTTAGTCCCTGAAATTTCCGCTTTCTGCCGCGGTCGCGGTGGAACCGCGGCCAAACATGCCCTCTGATTCTTCAGTTGTCCGCGAGTACACTCTGCTACGGTTCTGCCGCGGTCGCGGTGGAACCGCGATTTTTCACCCTGTTCCGTTTGGAATTTGGAAAAACGTAAAACATGAAAGTTGTAGCCCTTTGAGTTAGCTTTTCAAACATATATTGTGGATCCCAAATGGAGTTCTGAGAAAAAAGTTATGTCTATTTTACTAGACAGTGCGCAATATGCCTCCTCAAGTCTTCGTTCGTACTTAATTATCAAATTTGACCCCCGAACACGATCCCGGCTTAATTCCTTGAGCTTTTACTCAGACTTCAAAGCTTCAAATCACTTAAATTCATTCCATAACATCTATATAGCTCGGAATCACACCTACAAGGCATAAAACACACAATTAGTGCAAAATACTAGCGATTAAAGCGCAAACTCAATTAAAGTGCAGTAAATTCGAGTGTAATAAGCGACTAAAATATGCAATTATAGACTATTTTCAACACCCCACTCTTAAACCATTGCTCGTCCTCGAGCAATCAAACTACATTATTTTTATAGACACGACCTTTTTAAACAATTCTCCTAACTCATCACACCAAGAGTATTTAAAATAGACTAAGCACAAAAGCGTAACATCTTCACCTCAAGATTTGACTCAAAAGTACCACACGTTATTCACAACTCACCCACTTACTCTAATATAGAGGTGACTGACATTACCTTTCCTTCATGAATCAAGTGCCCTCACACAACAAAAGAGAGTAGTTCCACACAATAAAATTTAAGAACACTTAGGAACTCAAGATAGAAAGAATTCACTCACTCTCAGAAATAACATTCATATGCCACAAAATATGAACCATAAGCTTGCCCGTAGTGTACTACTCCACTAATCGAGCTCATTCACTCTGGGGTCAATTAGGACTTTATTTGGTTGTAATGTAGGCTACGGGACGGGTAGGATACATTTAGATATAAGAGTGACTACACCTCCCTAAGCACTTTAATACATACATTTTAACATTTAAACCCCATACTTATGTCAAACCAAAATTCCACCTTCACATCAATGTAAATTACCCCATTCTTCTTTAAGCACACTTACGTCAAGAACCACCACTTATCAAGGAATTTTTTTTTTCTTTTCACAACAATCCAACTATATTTTTTTTTCAATTCAAGTGGCTCTTCCTTTTTCAAAACAGTGCACCTTTCTCCTTATTTCATTAGTTCCACTCAAAAGCCAAACCAACCACCCCACACTTTAACTTTTACAAAGTTCATAAATAATTCAAGTGCTCATGAGAGGTTACAATGGTTCAAATAGATGGTTAATTCGAACAAATGGGTAAGGCTTGTAATGTGGTTGCCAAAGAAACAGGATTACAGGCTCAAAGGGGTTAACTACGATACATAATAATTAGGCGGGTAAAATATACCTATCTGGCTCAACAAAGAAATGCCTATATCACTTCCTAGACTGAATAAAATTACTATTTCGCTTTGCAAACACACGGGGCAAGTTCTAGGCATCAAATGCAATGCACAGAATATCACAAAACCTTACACACACATGGCACATAACTCACTCAGGATTGGATTCATCAAGACACCCTAGTCAGAGCAGTTAAGCAAATTTAAGATCATACAATTTAAGGTACTTATACAAAAGTCAAAAACTGAGCCTAAGCGTCACAGCCGAAGTACTCACTATTCTCAAGGCATAACAAAGTCAAGAGATATTGCTTCATTTCAAAACAAAACACAATGGCTCCTATTCCCAAAAAAAACTAACTACACCCGGTTCAAATAAAACCCTTGGAAAAGAACCGTGGTTTAAAGAAAAACCAAGGGGTAATTGCTACACTACCTAACAAAACAAAAAATCTTTTTGGTATTTTCTTTAGACTTACTTCCCTCAAGAAAACTGTCTAGAAGATCCGTCATCAGGAAAAGTCCAATCTTTTAAAAAAAAAAACACAGCTAATGTAGCATGAAAAACAACCCAGACAATCTCCTCACCCCACACTTAAAATTGTGCATTGTCCCCAATGCACATCCATACATACAAGAAGGTAAAAGAAACTCCCTGGTAGACCAAAGGCCGAAGCACTAGCAGTTCATGGGGTACTCAGACTTCTCCCAAGCTTGGTCCTTCGTGTGGGTACCTCACACTTAGTTCCAACCATTTGGTTTGCTGATGCATCCTTCCAATACCTTTGTTTTCCATGCTCCTAGAAAATAAAAAAATTGACACTACAAAAATAATACAATTAAAATAAAATAAAAATAAAAAATAAATAAAAGAAAGCAATAAAGCTGGGTTGCCTCCCAACAAGCGCTTGATTTAACGTCGCGGCATGACGCGAATCACTTTTTGCCTCCACCTCGAGCTTATGAATTGAACCCCAAGTTTTGATTCTGCTCTATGATCATGCTCCTGGGGTGGTGGAACGAATCTGGCTGGCCCAATAAAATAATGTAGTATTCTGCACTTCTTGGCCTTTAGATGAGGTGTGTAATCCCGATTTTCTGGCAAGAAGAATTCCCGAATGTAAGCACGTTGTTCCTCATTCCTTGACTCCTCAAATGGCTCGGACGACTCTATTTCCATATCATCATCTAAACACAATGTGGAAAAATGCTTGTAGTGAGGACCCATGCGCTCAACTACATGAACATTGGGACTATCTACATTCTCATCACTAATGACAATAGAGTCAACTAAATATGTATCCTCAATATCCTTGGTTGACTCTAGTATCTCTTCTACAACATCGACATCCTCAAAATCTAGTGTGATTGATTGTTGGTGTTCTACTCTAGCCTCCTCATCTAGCTCATCAATTTTTGTATCTAATTCACGCTCTTCTTGGATATTATTCACAATATTGGCTTGTTGAGCATTAAAAACTTCAACCAGTTGACTCATGTGAACTTTCAAGTTGTGAATAGTTTCCTCCTGCCTTTCTATCCGCAGTAGTAATTTACTCTGTTGTTCCGAAATGCACTTTAACATATCTTCGAGCTTCTTTAGGTCAGCTTCCCTAGGTTCTTTGTTCCTATTAACTTCACCAGAAAAAGAAGAACCATCAAAGTAAGGGGTTGGGGGAAGGTAAGAAATATAAGCACAACCGTGAAAGTAACCATCTTGACCACCACACATATCACACACATTCCACACATAAGATTGAGTTGGTGCACAAAACTCGCTCTCAGGAATATTTTGATAATTTTGCCCTAGGTGGTTTCCTTCACAATATGCATA